GGCTGCCCATCATGGAAGCAGGGTGCCGAGGTTTGCGTGGTTTGCCGTTTCTCAGTTCTGTAATTAGAGATGCCTCAGCTGAGTGTCAGGTTTAGAAGGTCAGAAAATAGAAGTCAAGCAGAGAACCCAGCAGCTGGTGCTACAAGCACAGATGTTGTGTGTGCACGTGTAGGTCTGACAGGCTATCTACCCTGGGCATGTGCAGCTGGACACTCCTTCCCCTCATTTCTCCGTCCTAACCACATGGTTCCATCCCCAGTGCAATACCTGAATGTCACCTCCGTGAAGCGAAACAAGTGGGGGAAAGAACTTCTCAGGATCTGGGATGTGAATCTTCAAGATCTTTTTAAACCTTGACAAAAGAGAAGGAGAAGAACAAATGAAGCAGGGCCTGACCTTGATCTGTCTGTCACTGTGGAAGGGTAGGAGAGAGCATTGCAGCTCACAGGTAATAGCCCGGTATGGGGGAGAGGTAAAATAGGAACAAGCCTGAATGCTGTCCTTGCTTTTGAGTGGTCTGACATGCAGTAGCTGAGGAATGAGAAGTATAGAGATAAGACAGTTAAAGCTGGCATTGGAAAATACATTGCTCTCAGCATCTTTAGGGAAGGGCAATCACCACTTCACTGGTTTCTCCCATGCCTTGGCTGGTCGCTTTAATCTCTCCACCTGCCCTCTTAAGCCCCTGTCCTGATGACAAGCTGAGCAGGTTTCCCTTGTTTCCAAGCTCCAGCTGTTGTGAGCTACCCCTTCTTTGCTTTGATGCCACCACAGTGACTTGGAGGACCACCTGGCCTGAGCAGGACCATCACTGGCAAAGCTCTGCCACAGCTCTCTGCCTTCTTAGCAGGATGCCGCAATGGTATAGCTGGAACACACTGGCTGTGCAAGCCATCTGAGTGAGTATGCCTTGCATCAGTACAGAGGCCTCTGCTTTACTGGAACCAGCGTGTTGTCATCCTGGGGCAGCATGAAGTGATCTAATCTGCTCTTATGTTCCTCAGAGAGGTAGGCTGATCCTGTTATCTCTTTCCTGAAGCTTTGCTCTTAGGAAAGACCCTCCTGACCTCTGGAGGCAATCAGTGTACTCTCTGAAGCGTTAGAAGTTGCTAGTTCTTGCATATAAACTACCTTACATCATTGCAGATGCTATTTTTATTCATGCATGTCTAATCCTTCCTTGCATCTTACCTCAGCATTATTTTCCGTTCAATTCCCCTAGGTTAAGGAGGCCTTTTTAACTCTCTCTGTGCTGTACAGCTAGCACTTCCTCAACTTTGTGTTATGATCGGGGTAAAACAGTGACCAGTGACTTTCTCAGTATCCATCTTCCTTCAACATGGTTCTCTCTTTCCTTGCAGAGAAACCATCCAGCCTCTCCTGCTTCATCCCTGGAAATATTTCTCCCTGCTCCCTGTCATGAACATCAGCACCCTGCTTCTTTGCCCCTGACCCAACATGGGAAAACCTGTAGCTATTTCTAACTGTACCATGCTGACAGGTCACTGTTCCTATTATTGCATGGGGTAACCTTGTGAGACACTTGTGTCTCCCTTGTGAGACACATCCTGAATAAAAGCGGTGCCTGGGTAGAAATGCTGGCAAAGAGGTCTTTAAAGCATCATATAGAGGTTTATCAGTGTGTGAGGACTGCACAGACCAGGGAGAAGAAGAACTGTACTCCTTATTCAGGAGTTTTGCCCGCAGACCAAACGCCACCATGTCCTGCCTGAGCTCTAGCTGGAGTGTTTAAATGAGAAGGTAATGGTACCCAGGCTTGCTTGGTCCTTGCTACTGAGAGAGTGCTCAACCCAGTGACCTGCTTTCGAAGAGGTAATTTTGATGCGTCTCTGCCAGGAAACACCACTGTAAGCCCTGGGCAGCAAATGTACTGAGGTAGCTGTTTTAAATTTAGCCAGGACGTGGCACCAGGTCACAGGAGTGTGGCACAATACAATGATGGTGGTGAAACCACATCATCTTGGGTGGTGAGATGTCTCCCCAGGCAAATGTCAGCCTCAAGAGATTGGCCTATAAACCATATTTCAAAGTAATCTCTACCTTGACTTCTTACCAAGTGAAAAATAACCCAGATTTTGAGAATACATACAAGATACAGGAGAGGAACAGAAATGAAAACTTGATTCTCATTTACCATTTCAGGGTCCGTAAGTTAATAAGGAAGGCAGTCCCAACGATCACAAAGAGGAAAGTGCTCACTATAAGAGCTTGCAGGGCTGGCCAGGATGTTTCTGCAAGATGAGAAAGAACAAAGAAATTGCTGTGAAAATTTAACCAGGATTCTGGAGAAGAACCTGCAGCCTTTTCATGGCTGTTCAAGGTGATCAAAGTGAGCCTTTGTTATAATTTTCTATACGATTACAGTATATAGAATTATAATATACAGGTCAGATACTTGAGTTCTGATGTGTTGTGCAGGATGCCTTTGAGCTGATATGGGTTTCAGAGTCTAAGCATTGCTTAACAGATAACTTCAAGCTGAAGAGCTGGAACCCTCTGTTCATAACAGCGCCACCACTAGGGGTTGCCATAGATAAGGTGCTGCAGTCTGCTGTTTGAAGTGTCCATCAACCTGTCTGTCTCCTTGCAAAGGGAAGCAGGTACTCCTCAGACCAGCTAAAGTGGGACTGGAGGCTTGAAACAGCATTATGAGTCAGTGGGGGAGACAGAGTCATAGGGTTCACAGGTCTCTGAGAAGGCAGAAGGACAAGGATGGTTAGGGATTGAGGGGTTGGCTTCTTTCTTTAGAGAGCTGTAGCAAAGCTTTAGGAGACTAGGAAGGTTACAGCTTTACACCATATTTTAGTACTTGGATTGTAGCGTTAGGAGAAAGAGACCGAGTTCCCACAGTCCCAGGGCTGCCAGCACTCCTCAAACTTGTTTGGGATCATCTCAAACTTTTCTTAATCTGTCAGTTTCAAACATATCTCCCCAATCCATCTTTGTTTGGTCTTGCTATTCTGGTGCCTGTTTCCCCCACCTGCCCCTCATTTCCATTCCTCGTGTACCTTGGTCTGGGCATGCAGAGCATCTCTGGAGTAGTTTTTAGGGAATAGAGAAAAATAAAAGAAGGAGGAGACATTTTTAGTACATTCTTTCTTTCCTTGTCCTTGAGATGCTACTCAGATCACTTTGACTCCTCTGCCTCTGGTATCCTGGTTATCTTTGGGTCTTGGTTGCTATGACAACTGGTTGCGGCTGTATCCTATTCACTGACATCACACACTGTCAAAATTTGATTGCCACAGCAACACAGTGCCCTTTCTAAACATAGCTCCTCTGTTTATATCAGCACCAGGCACAACAGGGAGGGCTTGAGCAGGGGCAGAGTGGGGGCGACATGAGAAGGAATAACATCTATCTGCTCAATTCGGAAAAGAAAATGACAGAGACCACAGCCAGTGACTCATCAAAGGGCACTATTTTTCAAGGCTGGAGGTTCATGCAGTGACTGATGCAAGTCTCAGCAGACCTTTTTGAGAGGGACTTAACATGCATGTAAGTCTGTCTCTTCCATTCTCCATGAGACTCTGCTTCTTAGGCTCAGGTGTCATTCAGTTGAGGAGCTGAGAGCTCTGTTTCACTGTATTTCACTGCATTTCACTGCATTTCACTGATCAGTACCTCCAATGAACCGAGCCATTTTAGGAAGCTGGATGTATATTCCTGGGAAACGTTAGCATCTGGGAAAATGCCAGTCCTGGCCACTGCTTCTGCAGGTCAGACATCTGGCCCTACTGCTCTGGGGAAGCAGTCCCTGATTTACACCTTGTGAATTTTGTCTGGCTTCTGGATGTCAGAGGGGCTTTGTTGGAGTCAGGGGGTCTTTGTCTTTAAGCACTGCTGAAGTGGTCTGACCTAACTGATTAGGAGGGACAGGTTGTTTCCAACCTTTCTATTGCTCTTTGGCCAATGCAGTACTCCCTACCCATTTTCCTTCAGCTTCCCAGCCTGCGTTGGCCCTTCTACCTTGTTTTCCCTGAGTCCCCATTTCCCCTCCAAGTTAGACTACCTGACTGATCCTTATGGTCAGCACGTGTCCTCCACAGTATCGGCTTGCTCCAGTCACTCCACACGCCTTTGTAGGTGCTTCTGGCACTTGGCCTTGCACGGACAGCTGCCTCATATTTCGAGTTAGGTGAGAGTCTCTCAAAATTTGCCCACATCTGGTCATGTTCAATGGGCAAGTTCATGGCCTCCTGGGAGTAGGGCAAATTTAGAACATCATCAACACCCTGGTTTACAGCCTCATGTAGTCATCTTTTCCAAAGCCCTCAGAGAAGACCTGTCTCAAATTGCTACACCTTGTGCACTGCTTTTTTACCCTGGAGGAAAATTTTTCTTCATTTTGCTTTTTTTCATCCCTTTCAGGTCTGTCCTGGAACTGTCTGAATTTCTTTGTGACAGCACTGAGTAAAATAGGATCCCCATCTGCCTCCTTGTCATCACCAAACACTGGCAGCAGGTGACAAAGATAAAAGGGTGGGGGCTGTCATCCACTCTCCAGCTTCACTAAAACTGGTTTCATCCTGAGGAGAGGCCCAGGAGCAAGTCTTGGGTGATATAAAAAAGACCAGGATTCGTATGGTAACAGGTCCCAGTATCCCACTCTGTACTCACCTCCCAGGACTGACTCATGTTTCGGTACCGCACTTGGTATTCCCGCTCCCCATTCAAATAATGAGAGGAAATATTCAGGCTCCATGTTAAGTTGGAGGTGTTTTCAGTTATGTTAACCAGATGAAGATTTCCTGGAGGCCTCAGTTTTACTGGAAAGAGAGAAGGAGCAGGGCTGATATCTCCACTCTGTCCACAGCAGGACTGCACGCCAAGCCCCATGGCAGCAAGGCTGGTGTCTTGGCTGTGCTCACAGACTCTAGCAAGCTACAGCCACATGAGAGTTTGTGAATTCCCCCTCTCTGTTCCTCCTTTTCCCCCACTGTCACTAACTGCAAAAGGCCTATTGCCTCTGGGCTATATTAAAGGCAGCTCCTCCTGTGAGCCTGTGAGAGTGGCCCCTGCAGTCAGTGCAATCAATCCATGGGGCCAAGCATCCTATCTTGTACGGGTGATCTGCATGGCAACTGTATGGATAGGAACGGAACATGGCTGGGGAGACAGTTGCTTCCCAGATGCTCTTTCAGAGAGCTACAGCCACAGGGGATGGAGTTACATGGACTGTCCAGGCTGATTCTTCGTGATCCTTGACTCCAGTCGCGCCTTCTTATGCCTCGTCTTGCAGCAGCTCTATTGGACATCTCCTTGAGACAGGTAAACTCACATATCCAGCAAAAAAATGTCCCAAGCAGATGTTTTGCTTTTGGATTAGTGAGGGGAATCCTTTCAGCAAAGACTGGTGCATGCCAAAGCTGGCTTAAAGGAGGGTGGAAGCACACACCTAGTAGGAGGGCAAAGGAAGAGCTGCAAGACTCCTTCTTGCAACACGCATTTTTTGGAAGGGGAACTGAGCTGCCATTGCCTGTTTGAAGCAGAGCTTCTAGGGCAAAGCACTCTCATTTAACGGTGTCCCAGATACAGGACAGGACAGGATGGGACTGGCATGAATCTGCATGATAAAGGTGCAAGTGACAGAGGTCAATGTGGTTCACCTGTGCTCATTGTATCAGGGGACAAGCAAAAGGCAGAAGCCTAAAATCAGCTATGGGTATTGCATAGGGGTGGATGGGGAAGAGAAATTAACCATCCTTTCATGGGGAAGTTTCAGAGACTGGAAGACAGATGAGTACTCACTATTTGCAAGGGGACTGAAATTTTCTATTCTCACAGGTATAGATTTATTCTCTCCAATCTGGCAATGGACAGACATGGCAAGACGGTCTGACCTGGTGAAGCATTGAGTCTGCAAGGAAAATTACCACTAGTGACAATGAAGCCTCATGAATATGCATTCAAATTTCAAAGCATTGCCTGTGTATAAAATGTTTAGGAATATTGGACAATAAATATGGAAGGTATTTGTGGCTGAAAGGCATAAATCTAAGTGGTGAACGAGGAACCAAAGATTTATACTTTATGTAAGATCTATACTATATGCGGTTGGATGTTTTTTGTGTACTGGCAAGAAGGGCACAAAATAGTGTGATATGATAGTTTGCTAGGATTCCTGTATGTGCTGACTAAGCAGGAAAAAAAGTTACTCTTTATGAGTGACATTTATTGAGAAAAATTATTTTTACTAAATCATTTTATGTTCACTGGTAAGATTGAAACCACTTTAGCATTAAATGTTACACTTGAAATGCAATGATACTGAAGGACCACGTGCATCATACACTATTGAATAAGCAATAGGGAAATTAGCTTGATTAGAAAGAAAAGATTTTGGAACTATTTACCAACCCTGCAATTTGTCTTTGCGCATGATATGCAAATGTAAGAAACTTATCTATCCTTAGAACTGGCTGTGGCTTTATCAATAAGGAGAATTAGCTCATATTTGGGTGGGCATTTTCTGAAATCACAAGGACTGCAGTAACTGGGTATGACTGAAGGAAGTACATAATGAGTCTAAAATAAGATTGATCCAAATAAAGAATAATACTTAGAAGGTTGGCATCACCATTAGCTCTAGTGATGTGTTGCTGTTGTATCTTGCATTTGACACATCTAACCAGACTTCACAGTAGTTAATAATTTGGAAAATGATTTTGACTTCTTCAAGGAAAATGAGATCAAGAGAGGACTTTGGAGCTGGTGGTGATGTCCTCCCTCCTCAGAGGAATGGGTTAGGGCCAAACTCAGCTAATTGAGACATGGGATACTGCATATGATCTGTCTGTCCTGCACCTTTTCTGCATGGTCAGGACAGCATTGTGGCCCAGCTCACAATGAAGCCAATCCCTCTTGCAGTGGAACCCACAGGAGCAACGCACGTCAACAACATATAGCACCAAGCCCAACTCCAGAACTGGAGTCAGGGATTAGGTGTGGGCTTTTTATACTGCTCCTGAATGTCACACTCTTTATACACCCAAAATACACATACAAATCTTTTCCACCTTGTCATTAGCTAGGGCATCCCAGATGAATTACTCACATTACTGTCTTGGCTGAAGGTCTTGATGCATCTCCTCAGTCCTCTCTTGTGTTCTGCCTTGAGTAATTCACAGTCCTTCTTGTTTTTTCCGGGTAAGGGAGATGACATGAGACTAAAGGTAGAGAACAACAATGAGCTAGGGAGGTTGTTTTGTATTTAGTCAAACATTATGTAACACTAAAAGGCTCTCAAAGCATTTTGTATCCTCAGGTATTTGCTCAACAGGTTGCAGCAAAGATTTAATCCTACTTGCTCTCCCCACTGCACCACTCAAACAAACTTTATGTGCTGGCACATGGAGAGTCAGTGCATCCCAGTTATTTCAGGCCAAAGATAACAGTAGATTTCCAGTTTCAAAGACTTTACAAAACCCTCTTCCTACCCTCTCTGCATCCTGTTGATATCAGAGGGCATGCAGAGCCCAAACACACCTGCTGCCCACAACCGCACCCTGCAGCCCTGGAAGACAGGTGCCTTTTCCAGCCCCTCCAGGATTTACAGGTCTCCTTCAAGCCACTGAAAGTCCTGTAGGATCTCAGATACTGAGTGACATGTACCTTCTGAACCAAGTCACATCCCAGTCAGTGAAGATTGTACATCACACATGGCAGCACCACACCATGACCTCTCTTCTGCTCTGACAAGCAGCTGGACAGCCTAAGCTGAGCTATGGCATGGGGGGCGACAGGATGGGAGAGCATCTGTAGGGCTGCAGCTGAGGGGGTATCTGACTGAGGTCCCTGATCCAGCTCTAAGGTCAGATCAGGTCTGGAACTTGCTGACAGTGGGGAGAGGTGTTGTCCTAGGACCCCGGTCAAGCAATGGCATAGTGACAAATCCAGCCCAAGTTCCAGCCCCAGCCTCTGTGATTCACACCCATGGAACAACATAAATGTTTTAGCTTTCTAGGTCCATGCCCCAGGCCACAGGATATACTTGCCCATCTAACCCCATTAGAGGTGTCTCTATGACAGTCACAAGTAACCCACACACTGCCAGAATCACATCGAGCCTCTCCTGATGACAGGCACCCAGGGAAGTCCTGGGGTTGGTTGGTAAACCTCTTGACTAGAGGTGTCTTATTAGGAAATGACACAGACTCAGCCAGCCTCCACTATGGCACTGGCCACACACCTCCCCTCTGCTGGGAGGCATAAGGGAGAGGAAAACATCATGAACTGAGAGAGATAAAAGGGCCAGGGAAGGGAAGGGGGATAGTATTTTTCTTCATTTGTTCTTACTCAGGGTGCAACATTGCAGTTATTCCTGGCAATGGGCAAATGGCCTCTGTATAACTTCAAATCCACCCTTCTCCACCCCCATCTCTATACATCCTCCTTTTCCATTGAAAATGTCTTTCAGTTCAGAGGGTGGCTAACAAGACAAGCAAGAGAGATTTTTCTTTTTAAAATGAAGCATGGATAGAGCCATGGAGCTGGAAGATGGGTTGTGCAAGGCAGTTTGAGACTGTCAGATGGCAAGCATTGAGCAGTGGATGCCAGCATCTTAGCCCACATGGGTTAGAGACAGAGTACAAGACAAAGCACCTCAGCTCTGTGACTCCACTACACCTGGCCTGGGACAGGGTAGCCTACATTTTTGTTAAGTGGCATTGGCTTTCCTAAGCCTCTCCAATCACCTACCTGTCACAAAAACCTTGATTTGATAAAATCTCCAGCTGACACGGTGCTTCAACCAGGTCCCTGCCTGGGTCCCAGTCGCAGAAGAGAGCTGCCCGTGAGTCATACCAACAAGTTAGGCTGGAGGCACCTGCCAGCAGAGAAGAGACGGACAGCAATGTGGCTCAGTTAGCTTAGCATTAGTTAGTTAGCCATCACCCTGAACAATTCTGCCCCATCCCAAACTACAAACTGACTCCTCTGCTGGATAACTCCAACAAAAAAGAAAGGCAGAGCCACTCACTCTTCTATGTCCTTGGAGGCTGATGCACTCCTAAGAGACCTGTGACTCTTGCAGCCTCCTCTGGCTGTATGTTACAACAAGAACATTGCACAGCAACATACCATGGCACACACACGCCTCCGGCTGACTCCCCTACTTGCCCACCCAGCTGGCACAGGTCAAAGGAATCGCTTCTTACCTTGTGCTGAGTCTGATGCCCACAAGGAATGCATGAGGCTGAACAGGTAGAGGTGAGACAGAAGCAGCAATGAGGGCTTCATCTGTACTGGTGACACACTGAAAGAGAGAAGACACCCCCACAACGTAGCTCAGCAATGTAAGTAAGGAAGATGTCAAGAAGTCATCTCACAGGAGGCATCCACTGTCCTGGGGCAGGGCTCAAAGCCACTACCAGTCTTCTAGGCTCAGAAACCCATATCCCTTCCACTCTGGAGTCTGTGTTCTTCCCTCAGCACCTCACTGTTTTCCAGCCTTGGGTGCTTTTCTCAGCAGTGAAACTGTTCACAGGGCAGCACAGATAGGCTGTTTGCAGGAATCGTGCCTTCTGAAAACGCGTGAGTGAGTGCACAGCAGTCCGTGTGTGTTGTTTCAGGCTGCTTGCTGACTCAGGTAGAGAGTGCTGCCTTGGTTGCGCACGCCTTGTGCTCTGAAGAGCTTCTTTTTTTGGTAAGCCCTAAGGCTGAAATAACTAGGTGCTTGCTGAGTAAGAGGGGTCTCTGAATGTAACAGACAAAAGTTAGTTGCAGAGCCCATGGCTTAGGAGGTAGATTTTGAACAGTATGTTTGGACTGGGGGGAAATCAGGGAGAAGAAAGAGTTTTCCAGGTTCTAGAAATTCAAGGCTTTACCATATAAAAAAATATTACATAGTCATACACAAACTACGTACCATCTGAGTAGACCTTGCTTTGCCTTGGAAGGAGTCGTGCTTTCAGGCATATCAGAAAATTTGGGCTTTGTAATAAGGAAACTCTACAGCACCCCTCATGCACCCCTGGTACCCAGGGAGCCTCACTGTCATACAAAGCCTGTACAGTCA